GTAACATTGCTTAGGTTGGTCCAACCTAGCATTTTAACCATCCCAGTCTCCTAAACCTACCAGACAAACTGTTTGTTCACTTAGTCTGCAAGCAGTTAATGAATAAATGTGTAACAGTTTTTTATGTAACCTAGAGTCAAGTGAAGCATATGAGAGTAGCAACTGGTAGAACACCCTTTCCAGGTGTGTCTATGAGGGTATTTGAAGAGGACATCAGCGAATGCTAGTCTGAATGGGAAGGTCCACCTTCCCTGTGGACAGGCACCATCCAATCATCTAAGGGGCCAGAGGGAACAGCACAGCAGAAAGGTGCTTTTTCTCTTTCCTAACCCTAGAACACATTAACTCTGTCCTCAAAGGCAGAAGGCTACTAGACTGGCAGGCCTTTGTATTCTAGGACCCACCCTGTGTCTCCCAGCACCCTTTGGCTTTACCCTAAGGGTTAGGTAATCAGATTCGGTTTCTGCAGATTCTCACTTGGAATTAGCCTCTTACTGGCACCACAGAGACTTCGGTTACGGATACCCGGTGGGGAGACTTCTCGGCCTGGACAATTATGTGAGCCCATGCCCCTGGCAATCACCTTCCACATATCTATATCTGTTTAGCCTGTTGGTCTGCCTCTGCAGATAATACTATCACAATCTATGGTGGGCATGAAGGTAGGGTCTGGGGAGAAAAATGTTAATGACATCATGGTTTGTGTGTCCAAGGAAGTGGGTTATTCTCACAGGGGCAACAGGCACATAAAGTGTTATAGGTGCAGCTAGAAACTTTAAAACTTTTGTTAAACTTATGTTACAGATTTTTGTGGCTATCACATATGTTTAAGGAGTCCAGAAAGAGGGCATCCGAGCTGCCGGAACTCAAGTTTCAGGCAGTTTTAAACTGCCCAACATGGTTGCTGGGATCTGAACTTGGGTCTTGTGGTAGAGCAGCAGGCACTCCTAAGCCCTGAACCATATTCTCAACCCTCTATTCACACAATTCCTTGCTGAAGGGTTATTTCCAGACCCAGCCAGTCCCGCTGCCATATCAGCCCCAAATAAGCACACAAAGACTTAACATTAATTATGAAGCTGTTGTCCGTTGGCTTGGGTTTCTTATGGGCTAGCTCTGTCTTAATTATTAACCTATTTCTATCAATCTATGTATTTCCACATGGTCTTGGCTTACTGGAGAACACCCAGAGCACACTCTCTTCCTAGGCTCTACACAACGACTCTGTCTGCCTATGTTTTCAGTAATTCTCCTCATCTCCTATCCCTGCCTATATTTCCTGCCCGACCAATCAGTGTTTTATTCACTAACCAATAAGAGAAACATATATACAGAAGGACAACCCCCATCAGTTCCCTGAGATAATAAGACTGGTGTAGAAATACAGACATAAAAGTACAAAGGGCATGGTACATTCAGGAGTCTGCTAGTAGTTCTGTACAGACGCATTTCAAGATACAGCAATGTGAGAAGTGGTTCTAAAAAGGCCGCAAGGTGTAAACACTGCATGCAAGCTAAGGATGGTGACATTAAAAGGTATTTATCCTTCACTTTTATTCAGCTTCATCAAAATAAAATAAGAATGCCAATCATGCCAATATTTGATGAGAAATTTTGGGAGTGAGAATATTAATTGAAATAAGTTCTTTGAAAAGGTGGAGGGTTCTTACATTAATTTCCTTTTTTGTAAGATAAGGACCAGAGATAGGAGAATGTGTTTTATGGACACAGGACCATAATACCTAGATGTCTCAAGGCCACATTCAGCTTAAATTTGATAATATTACAGAAAACTAGTGGAGTTTGCTGTTACAAATGCTATATTTGTTTAATGAGGAAAGTTTTAGTTTAACCCTACAGGGATATTTTCCTTAAGCCCAAAGCAAGTGATGGCCACAAAAGCCAACAAAACATTCATAATACAACATTGCAAGTATGCTTTAATCTATGTCACAGGTGTAGTATAGAAAACTGAACATCTTAAAGCTTACCTATAAATTAACATGCTAGACTTTTATTGAGTAATTGGGTACTTATGCCTTAGCTCTAGCCCTCTCCCTGAAGGTTGCCTAAAATAAAGGATCATTAGACTTAAACTGAAACACAATATCGAACTCTGCTCTTTTCAAAGAAATTTGGATTTTTCTGAAGACAGTGGGGCGGCCATGTTGTTTTCTGCCTATATTGCTTATACTTGCCTCCAACTCTCGATTCACAGTAATTGGAGATGGTGGGACGGGGTATGGCAACTTAAGGAGGCAGAATTAATATTGCCTACATGTGGGTGGAGGAGGAGGAAAGGGATTAAAATGATTACCACATCGTGGATTAGGGTAACTGGGTAGAAGGGGATTTTCTTGAACCTTGTAAGTACTGATAAGTGTGTTAAATATTTACTGAGTAGGCGTGTTAAATATTTACGAGGTAGACATACAGATTGAGGATACATATACAGACATAAAAAACAGGAGGAAGACCAGATTGTCACAAATCATAATTACTTCGATTTGAACGGGTTGAGTTCAAGGTCTTACTTTGATGGACCCTTAAGTGCCTTTTGTTTTCTTCCCTAGCCTTCACACAGTATCCAGTGGTATTAGTGGATGCTGCATTTTGGGTATACTCTATGTTTGCTATCTGTTTTCTCTAGCAAGACCATGAATTCTAGGGCTGGGGTATGCAGTTCGGTGGTAGTGCCTAGCATGTATGAGGTCTTGAGTCTGAGCCTATCACTTAGACAAATAAACCACCAGAAAGCCAAGGTTTAAATTCTGAGAGTTCAGAATCATGGTCACTTTATGAGCCTCTAGTTTTAGTAGCCAGCACAGAACCTACTTCTAAAGCAAGAGCTCTAACTTTACAAAACGTTAGATGGACCCAGGTGGCAGGTGTTCAGCAGGCCATTGGAAATTGGAGGCTCTATGCCAGGAGAGAGATCTGGGTTGAAATCAGAGCTTTGGGGTCACTTGAATTTGGGTCGGGATGACAACCAGGGTCACCAAATAAGAACATGTCCAGTGAGAACAGAGAAGGAGGTCAGGATGCAAATATTCTTTTAAAACGGAGCAGAAGGAAAGAAGCTGGCAAGGGCCAAGAGAGCAGAGAACAGTAGAGCTAGGGATAATTTTATGGGAGCCAAGAGAAGGGAGGAGAGAGCTAAGAAAATGCCCATCAGCTTGGGCAAGAGGACACGAGGGAAGACGCTGACAATGTTTGCCAGAGCTGTGTTATGGAATGGTCGGGTTGCGAAGTTCCTGCTTCCCATTTTCCTGGTCTGCGCTGCACTATCAGCCTACTTGCCCATGGGGTCACCGTGAGCTTCCCTGCTCTTCACCCTCTTATCAAAGCCATGCAGAGCCTCCGGAACGTGTCCTTTCGGATTACTGCTGCTTTTGCCGTCACTGCAGACAGCTTTTATTCCGGAGGCAGGGCCTCACTAAATTGTCAGCACTGGATCTGCAGTCCTTTGGTCTGAGCTTCGACTAAGCCAGGTCACAACCTTGTGCCACCACACTCAGTCCTTCCTTCATTGTTTAACCTCCTGTGCCTTTGCTTCGGTTGAGCTTTGGTGGTGCGAATCAGTTTATTTGTTTATCAACTTGCTCGGGATTGAACTCAGGGCTTCACACACATAGGCTGTGCAAGCTCTCTCTCTACCCGACAAGCTGCAGTCCCAGGCCCTAAGCAGCCGTGAGATGCTTGGTCGTTTTTCGAAGGATCTGTGCTTTTGTACATGGGGTTCGAAATACCATGGAAAAATCTCCAACTGTTCCTCTTTCTAAAGTTTCCATACGTCTAGGCAGCTCTTTCTGCGTCTGCCACTGAAGACAAGCAAAATAATAAGCAACTATTGAGATATTACATGTCATTGCATTCTCTCAGTCACTGCTGTGTTGCTGTGGAGAGACACCATGACCAAGGCAGCTCTTATAAGAGAAAGCATTTAATTGGGGACTTGCTTATAGTTTTAGATGGTTGGTCCATTGTCATCGTGGCGGGAGCAGAGCAGCATGAAGGTGCTGGAGGATTAGCTGAGAGCTTTACATCTTGATCTGTAAGTGGATAGACAGAAAGAGACTGGGCCTGGCATGGGCACACTTCCTCCAGCAAGGGCACACCTCCTAACCCTTCCAAACTTCTCTCCTGTCTCAAGGGTTTACTATTTCTTCAGCTTCACGTCATAACTTTGTAAGATCTTAATCATACATACCTCTCTCTCTCTTTTGTTTTGTTGTTTTTTTTTTTTTTTTTTTGAGGCAGGGTTTCTTTATGGCTTTGGAGGCTGTCCTAGAACTCACTCTGTAGACCAGGCTGGCCTCAAACTCACAGAGATCTGCCTCTGCCTCTGGTCTCCGCCTCCGCCCCCGCCTCTGCCTCTGCCTCCGCCTCCCAAGTGCTGGGATTAAAGGTGTGCACCACCAACTCCCAGCCAAGATCCTTAATTTTTTTTTAAACCTTCATTTTATGTGTATGTGTATGGTATGTGTTTTTGCCTGCATGCATGAATGCCTGTGCACCATGTGACACAGTGCCCTCAGAGACCAGAAGGGACTGCGTTATAAATGGTGTGCTGACAAGTGGGTGCTGGGAATTGAATCCGGGTCCACTGGAAGAATGATCAGTACCCTTAACAGCTGAGCCACTTCTCCAGCCACCCCACCACCCCTTTTTGGAGACAAAGCTAGGAGTCTTTCTTGGCAGCATGCATGACTTTTCTTCTTTCTTAGATAGGCCTCACATAGCCAAGGATAGCCTGAAGCTTGACACATAGCTAATGCTCTGGCCTTCACCTTCCCGATACTGGAACCATGGGCGTATGCCTCAACACCTGGCATTGGGTATATACCTTGTGTTATGGTATCTGTTGCCCTGCACTGCACTCTGTTTTTCTTACTGGCAATCAAGCTCCGGGCTGGTGCAAGCACACTTCTGCTAAACTACATATATCCAAAGCTATCCATGACAAAAATCTATTCTCTTTCTATTCAAGGTCTTTCCCTCAAAATGTGGTTCTATCTGGTGACCCTTGTGGGCCTTTACCACCTTCTGCGTTGGTACCGTGAGAGTCAGGTGGTGAGCCATCTCCAAGACAAGTATGTCTTCATCACGGGCTGCGACTCGGGCTTTGGAAACCTGCTGGCCAGACAGCTGGACAGGAGAGGCATGAGGGTGCTGGCTGCATGTCTGACAGAGAAGGGAGCCGAGGAGCTGAGGAACAGGACATCAGACAGGCTGGAGACAGTGATCCTTGATGTCACCAAGACAGAGAGTATTGTGGCAGCCACTCAGTGGGTGAAGGAACGAGTTGGGAACAGAGGTACAAAGAAATATTTTCACTTTTAATTTGTTTAGGCAGAATATTCAAAGTTGCATAGTGTATACATGCCAAAAACAGCCTTCAAAACACTTTGTCACTTGAAGAACTGTCCCTTTTCTTTCTTCCTGTTTAAAAAAAAATCCAATATAGTGATTTTTATCTGTTTTCATTTTAAAATTCACTCTGATGATTTCATGCAATATTTTTCATATCCTTTGCTGTCCGCCAGCTCCTCCCAGCCTCTCCCCAAACCCATTTCATGTTCTTCCTCTCTTCTAAGAATAAAGACAAAAGGATAAGGCTGCTAAGAAAACGAGGAAGCTGGCGTGTGCAGCCTAGCTGCTCCTGTGCATGGGTCCTCTGCCTCTGAAGAAAACTGATTGGCTCCACAGCACCTACCAATGTTAATAGTGTCTGGGTTCACGGTAGGACCTTGTGCCCACCTCCTCCTCCTCCCCTCTGTTGTGCAGAGATTTGTCTGGATGTGTGTGCTGTCCCAATCTCTGCCTTAAAAAAAACCAATTGGTTCTTTTTTTTTTTTTTTTTCTTTTTTTAGAATTTCATAGTGTTTGGATCATCTTCATGCCTTTTCTAACTGTTTCCAGATCCACCTGTCCTTTCCTACCCACCCGACTTTGTGTCTTCTCCTCTTCCTCCTCCTCTTTTCCTTCCTCCAATCAAGGCCGATTTGAACTGTCCATATGTTTTTAGACAAGTTCCTTCCACTAGAGTGTGGTCAATTTACCAGGTGCCACACTCCCAGCAGCTACCAATTGCTAATAACTCCTCTGCTACGGGTAGAACTTTGTGCCCGCCTCTTCTCTCCATGTAGGAGTTTTGTTGGGTTGAATTTGCACAGATCTTGTGTGTGCTGTCCCCACAGCTGTTGGTTCATGTGTACAGCCTTACTGTTGTGCCCCGAATAAGCTGTTTCCTTGTAATCATCCATTGCCCCTGGTTCTTACACCATTTTAACCACCACCTCCTCTGTAATGATGCAGCAGGAGTATGATATGGATGTCTCATTTAAGTCTGGGCATTTTAAAGTTCCACTCCTTGTACTCTGATCATTTATTGGGTCTCTGTGTTCATCTGTGACAAATGGAAACTTCTCTGATGAGGCTGGACGATGCATTAATCTATGGGTATAACGGTAAGTTCTTAGGAATCATTTTAACACTATGCCTGTTTAGCAGAGTAACAATAGTAGTAGGTTCTCTCCTAGGGCCCACGACCTGTCTAGCCACATGTTTTGTCCCTGACAATGGTGCCAGGTAAGGGATTCATCTTGTAGCATGGGCTTTAAATCCAAGCAGAAAGTGGTTGGTTACTCTCGTGACAGCATCCACCAGCGAGCAAGTCTTGCCAGACCAGTCACAATTATTGTTCACAGGGCCCGTGGCTAGGTAAGATTGGTGATTAAGTCTCTCCTGTCGCACAGCACTTTACAACTATGAAAGAGCCAGTAGGGATGAGGTTTCTAGACCAGTGCCAGCTTGGTTTCTCCATGTTCCATGACTCAAGTGCATAGTTCCCAGCAGCAGCGACTTACTGCTTACTAACTCTAAATCAAGGTGTCACGACCTTTTGTAATGCCTCATTTCCTTGAGAATGTTTGAATGTTTGCATGTTACACAGAAATGTTACATGGGAAAAAGAACTCCATAAATTTACAGAGAAACTTCTTACTTTTTTTTTCTAAAAGTGTTATTTTATGTGCAATGGATGTTTTGCTATCATGGCTGTCTTTGTACCACTTGTGTGCCTGATGCCCATCAAAGCTCGAAGAAGCCGTTCACACCTTGGGACTAGAGTAACAGAGTTGTAAACAACCATGTGGGTGCTGGGAATCGAATTCAGGTTCTCTGGAAGAGCAGCCAGTGCTCTTAACTACTGAGCCGTCTCTCCAGCCCCCAAGAAACAATTCTTTATGTTCCAGAGATTCTTAGATTTCACTTCTTTGAGACAGTGCCTCATGAAACCCAGGCTGTGATTATAAGCACATATGACTCCCCTGACCAATGGTTTTGTCCCACATTCTCTACTACTAGACTTCAAATAGCACACATTTCATTTCTTAGTTCTTCCAGAAAGCTTGACCTGCTTTTATAACTTATCAATTACAATTTTTTTTCGTTTAAAATATATTATTTACTGGGCGGTGGTGGCACATGCCTTTAATCCCAGCACTCAGGAGGCAGAGGCAGGGGATCTCTGTGAGTTTGAGACCAGCCTGGTCTACAGAGCGAGTTCTAGGACAGCCAGGGCTATTCAGAGAAACCCTGTCTCTAACCCCCCAAGCCAAACCCTGTCCAGGTCCTGAGGAGGGACCACAGCCAGCCTCAAGGAAGAACCATGCAGCTCTCCACCTGTGTGTTAGCTCATGGGAAGTTCTGTGGAACCTGCCTCCCCTGCCTAACTCACCCTCAGATTCATGATGAGAGGTTCAGATGGAACAGAGCAGTCTGTTCTGAATGTTGAGAACTCTTTGAGACCTGATACCCACCCTCCCCACCCCAGGGGTCTAAACTGGCCTTCTGTGATTAGAAAGATAAAGGTATTGCTACTGGCAACATGAGTAGAGACTAAGGGTTCGGGACTAGGCTTGGTTACTGTTGTGTGGGGCAAGCATGTGCCATGGTGTGCATAGTGATAGAACCACTTTACGGCTCTTATTTTCTCTCTCCATCTTTACGTGGGTTCCAGGGATCAAAATCAGGGCATCAAGGCTTGCTTGGCAAGCATTTCGCCTACTGAGGCATGTTATTAGTCCACAGTTTTTCTTGTGTTAGTATTATTATCTTTGTGTATATATAAAGTATATGTTACATATACTTCTAGACAAGGTAGTTCACAGTTGTTGCCACAAGGCTTGGGAGGTTGAAAGACCATTAGTTGTGGTCAGCCTGGGCTGTGGACAATCTTGTCTCAACCCCACTTTCTTTTCTGTAGCATTTTTAGTTGTTTATCAGCAGGAAAACTGGGCAATGTAAGTCGTTGTTATTTCTATTAGAAATCCAAGTCTTGCTCTGCATTCTGCTCTTTTAGGACTCTGGGGTTTGGTTAACAACGCAGGCATTCCCCCGGAATTTTCCTACCTTGAGTGGCTACAACCTAAGGACTCCATGGCTGTCTTTCAAGTGAACCTCATTGGTCTGGCCCACATGACGCTGAGCATGCTTTCCTTGGTGAAGAAGGCTCAGGGCAGGATTGTCAACGTCTCCAGTGCTTTGGGAAGACTCGCTTTTTTTGGAGGATTCTACAGTTGCTCCAAGTACGGGGTTGAAGCGTTTTCGGATATACTAAGGTAACTAGCCCTGCTGCAATACAATCAAAAGTCCTGAGTATTTCCCTGATGCGGACCCTGAACTCTGTCCTTTCAGAGACTACCAGTTTGTCACTCCCCACGTGTTCTCTGTTGTTTGACACAGGGTCTCACCTGTGACCCAGGCTGGCCTGGGTCTCACTATACAGGTCTTGTTGGCCTCAAGCTAAGGCCCTTTGCCCATCTTGGCTTCCTACAAGCTGAGATTATAGACATGAGCCACCTAAGATTCTTTGTTGGTTGTTACTTTGAGCCAGTGACATCGGTAACCTTGGCTGGCCTCTACCTTGCTTTCAGGCAGCTGAGGGCTGGCTGGCTTTGAACTCCTGAGCATCCTACTCAGTGCTGGGGTTACAGGTGTGCGCTAGCATCTAGCAAACAAACAAACAAACAAACAAACAAATAAATAAGTCCTTTTTATGTGCTTATTATTCATCAGGCCACATTGTAAGTATTTTACATCTATTAAAATAATTTCTTTTCTTGTGCTGTTGGGGTTTAAACCTAGGGCCCTTACATATTAGATAAGCGTCGGTCATTGAGCTGTGTTTCCAAGCCCCAAGCTATTTTACGTACTGCCTTTATCTGCACTTTACATCTTCAGGAACCACAGAGAGGAAGCTAAATATTTGCCTGTGTCATATGTTGTGACAGACAGAGCCTCTGTCTTCACCTAAGACTGGCTCTCCTCCAGTCAAGCAACACTGAGTAGTCCACCTGGTTCAAAATCTTTCTGTACAAACTCCCTTTAGCAGGGGCAGATCTCCCACAATGAGACTTGAATATAACCTGGTGATAGTCATTAGCTTCCCATGGCTCCTATAACAATATATTATCCCAAGTAGCTTAAAGTTTGTGGTATTTTAAAACATCGCTAGCCCCTCATAGTTCCTCAGAGTCAAAAATCTGAAGAAAGGGTTATTGACAGAGCCTCATTCTGTCTGAAGGCTCTAGGAAGACTCTGTCCATTACTTCTTCTAGGTTGCCTGCCATCTTCCTTCTCTGGGTGTAGGTAGCCCTTGCTCACTATGAAATGTTTGAGGGGAGGAACTCAGTATTAACATGCTTAGCTCGTGAGCATAAAACACTTAGCACAGTAGCATCATAATCAATGCTGTTTTCTCCCCTACCTTTCACCTCCTGGGTACTTAATGCTTTCATGTGCATGAGTGTCTCCCTGAAGGTAGGGGTAGGTACTGTGTCCATTTCTGGCGCTTGTAGAGGTCAGAAGACTGTGTCGGATGCCCTGGGGCCTGAGTTATGGCTAGTTGTGAGCCTCCATGTGGGTGCTGGGAAGTAAACCTTGGTTCTCTGGAAGAGCAGCACATGCTTTTGTCAAAAGAGCCACTTAGGGGCTGGTGAGATGGCTTAGTGGACAAAGTCACGTGCTGTGAAGCCTGACAACCTGAATTCCACCCTTGCACACCTGCATGCAGGAGGGAGAGACCCTGTCCTCCAACAGGTACGATGTGGTAAACACACACACACACACACACACACACACACACACACACACACACACACGAACACACACACTAAAAACTTAAAGCAAAAGAACAGATTGATTGTCAGATTAATGTAATCATGTTCCAATTATTGAATGTTTAACCTATTATTTTTCCCATTTCTCTGTCCTTTATTTTATACTTGTGAGACAGGGTCTCACTATGAAGCCATGGCTGGTCTGGAACTCTGTAGAGCAGGCTGGCCTCAAACTCCCAGGGATCTGCCTGCCTCTGCCTCCTGAGTGCTGGGACTAAAGGTGTTACACTACATTTGGCTCTCCAGCCTTTAAAATCTTTGGTATCTGCAGTAAAGCTATTGTTATAAGTGTGTGTGTGTGTGAGAGAGAGGGGGGGGAGAGAGGAATTATTTTCATCTAAGGCAGTGACTTAAGTACCTTCGTTTCAGGCGTGAGATTCGAAGTTTTGGGGTGAAAGTCAGCATTATTGAACCTGGGAACTTCAGAACCAGAATGACGGACACAGAGCTAAACATGGAGAGAATCAAGAAAGTCTGGGAAGCAGCCCCTGAGCATGCCAAGGAATCCTATGGACAGCAGTTCTTTGACCATTGTAAGTCTGTGTGTTTGTGTGTGTGTGTGTGTGTGATGTGTGTGTGTGTGTGTGTGATGTGTGTGCGCATGTGCACGCTCCTGTGTTTGCACATGTGGAGAGCAGAGGTGGACTTTGGATGTCATCTCTCACTCTCCACCTTAGTTTTTGAGACAAGGTCTCTGAATGAACTTGGTGGCTGGCAGTCTGGGAAGTCCCTGGATCTATAGCTCCATCCTGCCAGTGGCCTTGTTTCTATGTGGGTCCTGGGGATTTGTATGGCAAGCACTTTACCTGAAGTGTCCCTAGGCCCAGGGTTTTTCGTTTGATAGAGATTATAATGCTTATGCTTGTATAAGAAAAAGAAAAGAAGACAGTTGGCTGACTTCTACGAGCACCCTCTGCCACACACCACATGCCATGCACAAGTACACACACCTGTGTGTTTATACATATGTATGTATGTGTGTAGTGTTTTGTGGTGATCGATCTCAGGGCCACAAGAACTCTACCATTGAGCCACATGCCCATCCTACAATGTTTATTTTAAAAATGAAGAAAATTTCATAGAGTTCAAATGTGGTAATGGTTATACAACTCTAAACACACTAAACACTCATGGTTTGTACACTTAAACTGGCTAGATTTTATGATATATAAGTTACAACTCAACTAAAACACACAAATTTACATGTGAGGGTCAGAAATGTAGCTTAGCTGGTAACAGTGTTTGCTACATAAGCCCGAAGACCTGAATTCAGTCCTCACAACCCATAAAAAGGTATAGGATAGAACCAACCCCACAAAGCTGTTCTCTGACCCCCACACATGTGTCTTGACATGTGCAGACATATAAATAATAACATTTACAATTGAAAAGAAAATCCATGTAGTTATGTTGAACCAGTCATGGAGTTGAGTTTTAAAAATAAAATTTACTACTGGGCGGCTGTTGTGAGTGCTTTAGTCCCAGCACTTGGGAGGCAGAGGCAGGCGGATCTCTGTGAGTTTGAGGTCAGCCTGGTCTACAGAGGGAGTTCTAGGACAGCTGTGGGCTGCACAGAGAAACCCTGTCTCAAAAATAAATAAAATTCATTAAAATAAAATTTACTAAGGCTGGGTGTGTTGGTGCATACCTTTAATCCCAGCACTCGGGAGGGAGAGGCAGGCAGATATCTGTGAGTTTGAGACCAGCTTGTTCTAGTGCTGGTTACAGGAGAGCCAGGGCTAAAGAGAAAGAACCTGACTGCAAACAAACAAACAAACTCCAAAGTGAAATTTCCTAGGATTTCATAAAAGTAAAGGCTTAGTTTTGATGTGTGTGACTAGTGACTAGAGTATCAGGGAGCACAGGTCTGCCCTGGAATCCTGGTCCCCACAGAAGTTAACTGTCATTAGAATTCTGTGAGCACACACAACAAAACCTCCAAACCACCCAGAGGAGGGACTTCTGACCTCCTTCCTCTGCTCCTGCAGTTTGCAGAGTCACCAGAGAAGGCTTGATGAAGAGCTGCGCTGACCTGAGCCCAGTCATCAACTGCATGGAGCATGCTCTGACCTCTGCGCATCCACGCACCCGATATTCTGCTGGCTGGGATGCCCGGCTTATCTTCATCCCTCTATCTTATTTGCCTACGTCACTGGTAGACTACATACTAACCAGATCTATACCCAAGCCAGCTCAAGCAGCTTGAAAGATCCCGGTTCAGTGGCTCTTGGAATGAAGAAATCGTTTGTGTCTCGGTGATTGTTACTCTGAACCCAAACTATCCATGCCGATAAGCTTTCTTGCCTAGACCGTTTATCTGGACTTTCTTTTTCTTTCCTCCCCACCCCCACAGACATCAGGTCTCACTCTGTAACCCTGGCTGGCCTCGAACACACAGATCTGCCTGCCTTACTCTCAGTCAAGATGTTCACATGACAGGTATACAAATTTCCTACTATTTTAGTCATTTTTTCCCTGAGAGTATTTCCATCTGTGTCATTCTTTCTCATGCTATTAAATAGAGCCATATAAGAACAATCTAACCTGTTTTTTCTTCTGTACTTGTGTATTTCTGTGTCTGGGTATGTGCATGGGAGTACATGCGTTCCAAGAGGGTGCTAGGAACTGAACTTTCGTCCTTTGCAAGAGCATCTACTGCTTTTAATAACTGGGCCATCTCTCCAACCCCCAATGAAGCCTCTTTTTTTTTTTTTTTTTTTTTTTTTATTAATTTGTGTGTTTCTGTTTTTTCCAGACAGGTTTCTCCGTGTAGCCCTGGCTGTCCTGGAGCTTGCTAAATACAGAATAAGATGGTCCCAGACTCAGAGATCAACTTCCTCTGCCTCCTGAGTTCTGGGATTACATGTGAACACCACCTTGCTGGTCGTAACATCTTAAAACATTTCCTTGAATGTATTTGCTTCATTGCTCTACTTTTGGGGTGGGTGACTTTCAAGACAGGTTACTCTGTGGAACAGCCCTGGCTGTCCTGGAACTCTCTTTGTAGACCAGGCTGGCCTAGTGCTCAGAGATCCACCTGGGATTAAAGGTGGGTGTCACTGTTCCTGACCATTTTAAGAAGCAACTCATTATCAACATTATCATTATCTGTGTAGGTGTGTGCATGCATGTGTGCATGTGTGCGTGTGTGTGTGTGTGTATGTCTATGCCATGGTGCTGATGCCATCTTGTTAGTCATATTACACTAAACACTTTACTTTTATTGTGTGTGTGAGTGAGTGTGTGTGTATGGGTGTGTATGTGTGTGTAAGTGTGAGTGTGTATGTGAGTGTGTCTGTATGTGTGTGTGAGAGAGCGTGTGTGAGTGAGTGTGTATGTGAGTGTGTGTATGAGTGTGTGTGTGAGTGTGTCTGTATGAGTGTGTGTGAGTGTGTCTGTATGTGGTATGTGAGTGTGTGTGTGAGTGTGTCTGTATGAGTGTGTGTGAGTGTGTCTGTATGTGGTATGTGAGTGTGTGTGTGTGTGTGTGTGTGCGCTGCATGTATGTATGTACATCATGTTTGTGCCTCGTGCACTCGGAGGCTGGAAGAGGGTATAACATATCCTGGAGCTACAGTTATGGGGTTCAGCAGCCATGTGGGTGCTGCGAACTGAATCCAGGCCCTTGCTTCACTGTTGTTTTTAATTGGTAAAATGTCTGGATGGTATTAGAGATAGAACCCAGGGTCTTGTTTACATAAGGCAAGTGCCCTAACATGGAGCCAGGTGCCCAGCCTGAAAATGCATTGCTTTGTGCCAAAGGCCTCGTGATGTAGCCTGGGTTATGCTCAAACTTGTTATGAGAACTCTTGCCCGCCAGCCTGGTCCCACAGCCACGTCAGCCCCAAATAAACACACAGACACTATATTAATTATGAAACTGTTAGCTGGTGACTAGGGCTTCTAATTGGCTGGTTCTGTCATAATTATTGACCCATTTCTATTAATCTAAGTATTTCCACACGGTCTCATCTTACTGGAGAACGATCCAGACCTCTAACTCCCTTGGCAGCTCACATGGCGACTGTTAAGGGTCTCTGCAGAGAAGAGAGTGATTTGTCCCTGCTTATATCCTGGTTCTGCCCAGCTACGTCACTTCCTGTCTGGCCAAGCAGTCAATTCACTAACCAATAAGAGAAATATATAGAAAGACTTCCCCCATCACAAACTCTTGACCCTTGTGTCTGATTCCCCCAGAGAGCAATCTGGGCCCTAACTAAAGCAGACAGCATAAAGGAGAAGAGTGGTGGCATATCTGTCTACCTCTGTCATCTACGAGGATAGCAAAAGATTTCTCAGAAAACCCTAGGAATTTTTCCTTATGCTGAGCAGACATAGAGAATAAATTATTACCTAAATTGGGACGCTTGTGGAAGAGAAGCAAGCCAATATGAAGGGCTTACAGAGGGATGCCAGCTGTAGATAGTATTGCCCTAGATAAGTTGGTGATTAAGTTACATCACAGAAACCATTGTTTCCTTACGTGCTTCCTATTAAAATTCTTATAGAAATGCCATTATGGAAAACTAACCTAGTCATTAAGAGTTCCACATTCATTTGTAGTTTTGATATTAGACAAAGCAGTCAAAATACTTCCTTTGAAGGTCAATTCATTTTTCTATTTCAATCGTTGTTTTAAAGTATTTCTTTTGAAACACACCTGGATCTATGTACTTCCTTTAGTGATTTGCCACAGGCTGGTGATTTAACTTTTTAATTTAATGTTGTCAGGGCTCTGATGTCCAACCTAGATTATTCTGGAGTGAACCTTAGACCTTATCTGTCCTAAGGACTTTAAAACTTGAAGAAGTTTCTGTTCCACTAGGTCCTGAAACCCTTTAGTTCCAAATAAACACACAGAGGCTTCTATTAATTGTAAACTGTTTGGCGAGTGGCTCGGGCTTCTTACTGACTACCTCTCTCTTAATTATTAACCCGTTTCTATTAAACTATGCACTGCCACAAGGCTATGGCTTACCCATGATGCTCTAGCATGTTACTCCTTCAGCAGCTACATGGTGGTGGCTCACTCTGACAGCTGCTCCTCTCTTTTCCTCTCCCAGAATTATAGCTTTACCTATACTTTCTGCTGGCCTCTGGCCAATCAGCATTTATTCATCAATCATATATTCCCAGCATACAGAAGGACATCTCCCATCAAAAACTGACACAGGGTCACAGAAATAGAAAGTGCTTAGTAATGACTCAAATAGATGAGCACAATTTCCCCTTAAAATATCATGAGGTTTTATTGAAAGAGTTTTGAAGAAAAAATAAATCAATGTAAACATACACACGAACAGGGGTCTCAGGGTCACAAAGCAATGCCTAGCATCAGTTTTCCCCCAAATAAATTCAATGTGATTCCAGGCCAGTCGAATGTCCAGCCGCATTTTATTTTCAAATTGAGAATTTGATTTTAAAATTTAATGCAAGAGCAAAAAGGCAAGAGGAGCCAAGGGAATTTTGATGAATAATCGGGGGAGACTCTTTCATAAACATTGAGACCTAGCATACAGTTTGCTTATGCTTTTTGTGCGAAATTAACTCAGACATGGAAAGCAGACTGGAGAAGAAGTGAACAGGACTGAGGGAATCTCTAAATGGAAGCTTGAAACCACAGAGGAAATTTAATGATATAGTAGGGAAATAAACCACACACACACACACACACACACACACACACACACACACACAGAGGAAAACATAGACACACACACATAAACATATAAACACACACACACCATAAACACATAGACACATACACATGCACATACACCATAAACACATCACACACACACAAACACAACACATGCACAACCACACAACGCATCCCCCATGTACACCACACAGACACCACACACACACACACAGGCACACTCTAGGAAACTCTACAATAGGAGTTGTCCATATGGCTTTTCTCTGGTATTGATTATCCTTATCCTCCCTCCTCTGCTTTAGCATTTATTTTTTTAAACATCAACATGACCACATCAACTTTACAGATTAGCCATGATATAAATGAAAAGTTGGTAGCTTTCAGCAAATATAGGTTCAAATTTGATTGGTGGAAGGTCACACCTTTTTAAAAAGTGGACACCTAAGCCCAAGTACATGACATCACTATAGATTTGTTTTGTTCAAGACAAGGCTCTATGTAGCCATGGCCATCCTGGAACTCGCTCTGTAGACCAGGCTGGCCTTGAACCCACAGAGACCCACCTGCCTCTGCCTCCCGAGTGCTGGAGTTAAGTGTCTTTAAAGAGAGTGCCTGTGGTGCATTCCCAGGCTCCTCCATCTTGCCTTTACCTTTCTAGCTACACAAAACTAATGCTGTGAACGAATTTGCAGCGTTAAATGGGTTTTAAGAGGGAAGACAGCATATTTTGTTGCGTGGACAAAGCATCCGCTCTGTGGCTCTGAGAACACGATTCACTCTTCACGCGCTGTGATCGCTTCGCATTAGGTGTAGGAGCTGTCACTGAAGAACAAAGTCTTTCTCAACTTTATCGACCGGACTTTAGAAGTTGTTCCTAGATGATGTGTACCACGGGGACAGCACAAGTTATACACATGTAAAAGGCCTGAGAAGGCTGGGGCAGGTGTAATGGCTTCAGAAGCACGAGTTACGGGAGGGAAGCTGAAGCCCCACTTGGCCATCATTATTCACCATCTGGCTGTGCAGTTACCATAGTGCCGTTATTTGTCTCCTGCAAATGGGCCTCAAGGGGGCTCTAGAAGAGATTGTTTCTCGAACAGAATAGTTACTTAATGAATATTCATTGGCTTTGAAAGCAGAGGTGGCCATTTAGGATCCCTGCCAACATGAGCACTAGCTCATTGGGATGTTCTGCGGGTTTCTGGTGTGGGCGGAAGTGATAAAAGGAAGATGGCATTATGTGGTACATCCAGGACTCAGAGGCAACTGCGTAGAAAGTACCCGGAACAACCTCTGCTGTGATTTGACAATGAAGTTCTGAGGAGCTGAGCATCTTCAGTCTAGACACAGGGAAATACGATGCTTCCTACAAAATTCTTAGATCATTTTACATTTTATTTTAAAGTTAACAGTACTTTTTGTTTGCTTTTCAAGACAAGGTTTCCCCTCTGTGTAGCCCTGGCTGTTCTGGAACTCACTCTGTAGACCAGGCTGGCCTTGAACTCACAGATCCCCCTGCCTCTGCCTCTCAAGTGCCGGGATTGAAG